GTGGGACCCTGTCTCAAAAAAAAGCAATAAAATTAATTCTTTTTTTAATGTTCACAGCAGCTTTTTCTTCTTTGAGTCAGTGCATGTTTGTAGCACCTAATGATTACATCCCCTATGTGGAGTTGGTCCATGTACACAACACATCTTAATTCCTTTTTTGTCCCCTGTCGCTCCCCTTCATCTCTGTCCCCTTCCCATTTGCAAAACATCTGTCCTTGTCTGTACTAGTGGGGGGATAGAAGGGAAACAGAAAACACATTTGAGGGAGCTGCTGGGGGTGGAACCTAGGGTCTTGCACACCCTAAGAACATGGTGCCTGCAGAGCTGAGCTCCCAGCCCTGAGATCACCTGTTCAGTGACAAGAATGAGATAAGCTGGGCGTGATGGTGCACATCTGTAATGCCAGCACCCGGGAGGCTGAGGCAGGAGGATTGCTGAGAGTGCAAAGCTAGCCTGGTCTTCATAGTGAATTCGGGGACGGCCTGGACTGCACTGCATAGCATGACCTTGTCGTGCCGGAGCTCAGGGAAGGAGAGTGAGGTCAGCCTTTGTTGGCGGGGGGATACCTAGGGACACCATGCTGCCTGCACCCCCCAGGTCGGAATGAGTGTCAGGAGATCCCCAACGTCTGTAACCACGGCGACTGCGTGGACACCAAGGGCAGCTACACGTGCCTGTGTCACCGTGGCTTCCGGGCCCTGGCGGATGGGACCCTGTGCGTGGGTGAGGGCCCTTCCTGCTCCCCTCCTGGCCAGGCCCTGCCTGGGGTCTGCCCCCGCTCTGGGGTGGGCACGGCTCTTCCTTCCATCCTTGTTCACAAGACCCGGATCTGAACCTGGCACTCGGGTCTTGGATAAGTGACTTTCTTCGCCTGTCTGTGAGGATCACGGGTGGTATCAGGGTACCTCCCGGCCGTCCCCTCCAGCATCACTGGCCAGCCTCCTCCTGCACTAGCCAAAGCGCTGGTGAGTGCAGGGGTCTTGGCTTCGCCCTGACAGACCTCGACGAGTGCGAGCAGCAGCCGTGTGGAAACGGGACCTGTCAGAACATCATTGGCTCCTACACCTGCCTCTGCGCCCTTGGCTTCGCAGCAGCGCTCAGCGGGAGCTGCGTGGGTAAGCCAGCCCTCCCCACAGAGTCACAGACGCACGGCCTGAGGGCTCCTTTTGCAAAAAAAAATAACCTCGGGGATTGGTGTTTCCTCTGGAAATGAGCTCACCATTCTCATACTCCAATTTCCCAGTGCTGGGGTTGGGTTGGGGCTTCTGGGGGTCACCTGTCAGAGTTTATGCTAAGGTTGAGCGCAGGCAGATAGACCGCATGACCTAATGCTATGACTTGGCCTCTGTGTGCTCTCTTAGCTGTACCCTACACATTGTAATATGTTGTGTTTTCATTTGCACTGAATTCAAAACAGTTTCAGACTTCCCTTAGGACTTCTTCTCCGGTAAACTCCTAAGAGAAGGAGGTGAAGGGTAAAAGCAGGACCTTGGTTGCATAGCACTGCCCAGTTTGGGTCACTGGCTGAAAGCATGCACTCCAGGACCAGGCGGTGTGGGTTTAAATCCCAGCTTTGTCACCTACCAGCCGCATGACCCTGCACAATTTACCCCCCTGTGCTTCCACTTCCTTATTTGCAAAAGGGGGATTATTAGGTGAACTTACCAGAGCAATATCAGACTATACAGTATTCTCAACAGAAATATTACCAGTGCTGGCTGTGGTGGTGCACGCCTGTAATCTCAGCACTGAAGGAGGCTGAGGCAGGAGGACCACTGTGAGTTCAAGGCCAGAGGGCTCTACATAATGAGTTCAAGGCCAGCCTGAACTATATAACAAGACCCTGTCTAAATAAATAAACACACACACACACACACACACACAACAACAACAACTAAAAAAAAAAATTACCCGAAAGCCAGGTGCAGTGACACAGACCTATAATCCTAGCTCTCAGGAGGCTGGAGCAGGAGTATTACCACCAGTTCAAGGCTACCCTGGGCTACATAGTGAGACCCTGTCTCAAGAAAAACACAAACTGGTCCGGGGATATAGCTCAGCAGCACAGCACCTCCCTGACAAGCACAAGGTCCTGAGTTTGAGTCCTAGTACCAAAACAAAATAGATAAATAAATAAATAAATAAAAACAACAGAAATATTACCAGAGATAGAAACATTATGTAGAGTGGTCTACTTGTATAGCTGGCAACTTCAACACACCTCCCACAATACTAGGGAGAACAAGTAAATAGGAAATGAGTGAAGATATTGAAGACCTGAATGAAACTGTCAACCACTCAACTTCCAGAACATTCCAGAATCCACATTCCTGTCAGGCACATTCACTAAGCAACACCGTACACTGGACCATAAAAAAATCACCTTAAGGAATTTAAAAAATTGAAACCACACAAAGTAGGTCCTTGGGTTTTGTGGGAATGAAACAAGCAATCAATCACAGATTTAATTTCTAAGTCACAGACATACTCCTGAATAACTCCTAGGTCAAAGAAGAAATTATAAGGAAAATTAGAAAAAATACTCAGCATTCAACGAAAATGAAATCATCATGTGTCAGAGTGCACCCGGCACAGCTAAGAGAGTTGTCGTGCTTTAGACAAAAAGACCGCCCACATTCTCAGATGTTCGGAAGGTGATTGGCCCATGGGGTCAGAGACTCCTGGGTGGATCCACGCCCTGAGGAGTTCAGTAGCCGAAGGTGCTGTGTGCGCCGGGGGCCTGGTTGGAGGTTCGTCACAGAAGCCACGAGCTGAGCACCTTTTCCTCCACCAGGCCTTGCTGCCGTGGTGATTCTGATTGGATCCAGCCAGCCGTGGGCTGAAGCCATAACCCAAAATAAACCTCCCCTCTTTTCAGTTGTAGACGTCAGATATGGTGTCCAGGGACAGGGACATGACTGAGACGAGAGCACTCAGAGGCAAATTCACAGCAGTATGTGGTTATATTGGAAAACACCAGTACCCTCTAAACAGGGTGGCAGGAAGGTTAATATGCAGAAATTTGTATATAAGCATTCGGTGAATAACAGCACCATCGGCTCAACTTCATTATGGACGGAAATGTAAGAGATTGTCAGTTCCCTCAGGCTCTGTGGTTGACCCTCTCCCCCTCTCCCCTCTGCAGACATCGATGAGTGTCACACCATGGCAGGGCAGGTGTGCCACATGGGACAGTGCCTCAACACAGCTGGCTCCTTCCACTGTCTCTGCCAGGGTGGCTTCGAGCTTACAGCTGATGGGAAGAATTGTGTGGGTGAGTGTCGCCTCGGTGGGTGGGGAAGCCGTCTCAGCAGCCTCTGCTCCACACTGACCGGAACTTTGTACTTCTCAGTGAGTGTGGCTCCATGTAATGACCATGCAGTTATTTTAAGGCATGAAAAGAAAAACACAAGCACCTTCTGTTTTCACAGAGTGCATGGTTTAGGGTGAGGCTGTCCTGAAAATATAAGTTTCCTGCTAGGCGTGATGGTGCACACCTGTTACCCCAGCACTGTGGGAGGCAGAGGCAGGAAGATCGCAAGTTCGAGCCCAGACCCAGGCGAGCTGTCTGCCTCCTCTCTGGCACTGGGACCCCCTCCTTCTCCTCTCCACAGACACAGATGAGTGTCTCACACTCCCTGGAACCTGCCTGCCCGGCACTTGCCAGAACCTCGAGGGATCCTTCCGCTGCATCTGCCCCCCTGGCTTCCAGGTGCAGAGTGACCACTGCGTGGGTGAGTGACAGCCCCACCCCCACTCTGTGACCCATCTGTAAATCCCGGGTGGGGTTAGGGTGAGGTGGAAATGCGCTTCACACGGTGCTGAGTGCAGCTGCGTGCACTGTTAACGTCCAGTGCTTCCAGACTCCGGGCTCGGAGCTTTCTTTCCTATGAATCCTATGAAATGGACATGGGCCAGGTATAGTAGCTAACATCTATAATCCCAGCAGTCTGGAAGGCTGAGGCAGGAGGATCGCTAATTTCAGACTCTAATGTATTTTTCCTGATCATGACCCTTACCCTGGAAACCTTCTGGCAAAGACCCTCCCACATACACGTTGCCCACCCAGTGCTGTGGGTCACCCTGAGCCCTCAGATCCCCATCCCCCATGGCCCTGCTCCCAGCAGAGGCCTCATCCTGTCGGAGGCCCCATTTGTATTCTTCCCAGCTCATATCTCTGCCCCTCCCTCCAGACATCAACGAATGCTTGGAGGAGCCGAACCTCTGCCTCTTGGGCACCTGTACCAACAGTCCCGGGAGCTTCCAGTGCCTCTGTCCACCTGGCTTTGTCCCTTCTGACCACGGGCACCGTTGCTTTGGTGAGCGGGGCACAGAGTGTACACGGGGCTTTGAGAAGGGGTGGTGGCAGGCAGGGTGGGGAAGGCTCCGATCACCCAGGAAAAGAAGGCTGTGGATTTTGTACAACACCGCAGGAGCTCCCACCGGACACCTATGCCTCTGCGCAGTGCAGGTCTGCTAGTCCCAGGACCTCTCGGGCTGATAGGATTCCGAGTAGGGCTGAGGTCTGGGAGTTTGGGTTCTGAAGCCCAGGGGCCTCCAGCTCTCTGGAATCAGTGGCTTTGCCTCTCCAGGAATGAGTAGGTTGAAACATTGCTGATAAGGAATCTCATCTCCCCAGCCAAAGTTCCAGGGCTGATCCTCATTGGCCCACTAGGAGACACATGCTCATCCCTGAGCCAATCACCACGGCCAAGGAGGTGGGGTGTTCTGATTGGCTACTGGTAGAATCAGCACCGCGCCTCCGGCGGGCCTGGGGTGAAGCAGGGCAGCGGGGCGAGCGCTTGCTCCCCGCTGGGCCCTGACACCCCGCCCGCAGACACACGGCAGAGCTTCTGCTTCACTCGCTTTGAGGCTGGGAAGTGTTCCACGCCGACAGCTTTCAACACCACCAAGACCCGGTGCTGTTGCAGCAAGAGGCCCGGGGAGGGCTGGGGCGACCCCTGCGAGCTGTGTCCCGGGGAGGGCAGTGGTGAGTGGCTGCCCAGCCCCGCGCTGTCCTTCCTGCCCCGTCCTCCTGACCTCTCCGGAGGCGCAGCCTGACTCCCTCCCTTTCCCTGCCCAGCTGCTTTTCAGGAGCTCTGCCCCTTTGGCCACGGAGCAGTCCCAGGCCCGGGGGACTCCAGAGACGGTGAGCCGCGAGCCCGCCGCCCCGCCTCGGCTCTGCCCGCCCCGGGCCCGGCGCCCACCGTGACACACTGCCTGCGCCCCGCCCCCGCCGCTGCAGATGTGGACGAGTGCGCGGAGAGCGCCGGCGTCTGCGGCCCTGGCCTCTGTATCAACACCGACGGCTCCTTCCGCTGCGAGTGTCCCTCTGGCTACAGCCCGGACCCCGCGGGGGTCAGCTGTGTGGGTGAGCGAGGCCGTCGTCACTGCGTCCTCCCTCACCGAGCCCACTGTTCGCCCCTTCAGTCACTCACTCACCCCAGTCGTCTCAGTCGCTCGCTCCTGGCCCCGTCTGCCCCGTCCTCATTCATTTCTTGGTCACGCAGTCACTTGATCATTCTTTCACTCCCTCATTCATCTCCTCCGCCCATTCGTTTCCCACGCGTCCCTCATTTACCCACTCGCTTGGTCGTTCATTCATTCCTTCACTCGTTCCCTCATCCACTCGTTCATTCATTCTTTTTTTTTTTTTTTTTTTTTTTTTTTTTTTTGGCAGTGCTAGGGATTAAACCCTAGGACGTTGTACAAGCAGGCCAGTTGTTCTACCAACTGAGCTATAACCACTACCCCAGGGCAGATGGTTTTGAATCTCTATAGCTTCTTTTTCTAGCTTTTTAAGGGCAGGGAAGCTTTTTTTTTAAAACATAAAGAACAGAAACATATTAACAAACAAGCAGACATGAACAAAACAACACCCAAACAATAGAAGCAATACAGAGTTTCAGACAAGGTGATAGAAAATTAACAATGAATATTGTATTACATATTGTTATCTTCAAATTGGTTACTCAGTTCAACAAATATAGGTATTTAAGGTTGATCAAACAATTAAACATTAACTGTTCCTTTCAATAAAGCAATAGAAGTTTGTAGTACGACTCTCTCAGTTACCCTGTGTGTGTGTATATATATATTTTTTCCCTTCTTTTTCTCTTTTCCCTCATCCCAGTTCTTCCTTCCCTTTGAACACTTTCTTTTCCTTTCACAATATCTATTATACCTTTCAGATTTTATTTACCCTTTCAGGTTCCTACACTAGTGAGACAATACGGTCTTTACACATGTGGGTCTGATTTAATTCACTTATGAATATGGACTCTAGTTGCATCCATTTACCTATGAAAGCCTCAAGTTTATCTTTCTTTATTGCTGAGTAATATTCCATTATGTAAAAATACCACATCTTTTTTATCCATTCCTCAGTGGATGGGCATTTGGGTTGCTTAGGGTAGGGAAGGTTTTTTGTGGCTCAGTTTGTCATCTGTACAATGATGCTATCTAAACCTTACAGTTAAGAGAGAGAATATCTCTAATGTGCCCAGTACATAATAGGCATGCTACAAAAAGTCTCACTGTTACTATATAAGAATTATACAAGTGCTTTGATCACTGCAGGGTCAGGACAGTGTTGATGATGGTTAATACATGGACATGAAGACAGACAAGTTCGGACTCACAATTAGCAATACCTGTCTTTCTCAAAGTTGGTTGGCTCCCTTATCAAGTTGCTAATGTGAGGTTTTACAAATTTTATTTGTTCTGTTTTATGATGCTCTGAGATCATACAACTGTTTTGTAATTGTTTCTACATTTCTACATTTTAGAATGAACTGAATTACAGACAGGTGACCCATGGAAAGAAGTATTCCCTAACATCCTACAGGTTATTAGTAATGTTCATTTAAAACAATGTAACCGTGAATCATTTTTTTCTCTAATTTCATGATTATTACATTCAGAGAAAAGCATATAGCTCCTGTGTTTTTGTTTCTTTGTTTTTGATACCGGAAATCAAACTCATGACCTTGCACTTGCCAGGCAGGCACTGTGCCACTGAGCTGTATCTCCAGTTGCTAGCTTCTATGTTTCTGAGTGCTATAAATCCAATTAATCTTTGCATCTTAGGTAAATGCATTCTCTAGTAAATACTCCTAGAGGAGTCATGATGACATTTGTGCTTGTTCACTTTTCATAAGGAACCAGCACAGGAAGCTTTGGAACTTCTGATCTGTCCCCAGTTACTGACAGGCTGGGATGAGCCTTCCTTGCATCCATTCAAAACCTAGAGAGAGGGGACACTCACTTCTGACATGGATATGTTTAGAAGGTGTTGGATAGTGGCTGAAGGTGTCAGAGTGGGGATTTTTTGCTTCTATTCCAAAAAAAGTTAAGTAAAAATGTTCATCCCTCTATTGTTTACTAAAAATGGACTACATTCCACAGAAATGTGATTTTCACTTTCTTGAGACATAAAAAACCAAAGTATTCTTCCATTCTTTCTAAAAGAGTCCCAGATAGCACGTGACTTTATTTTTGAACCCAGGACTTTGCATATGCATGACTCATGCTTTATCACTGAGCTACAACCCCAGCCCATACTGTGACAGTTTTACATCTAAGTGTCATGGGACTTGTTTGGTTCTATGAGGGCCAGCATCAATAAATTCAACAGTTCAAATTGAGGAGCATTAAGAAACTCAACTCTAATTCCCAAAAGAAAGTACCCAGGACACATAAGAAAGAACAGTAGCCTCATAAAAAAAGTCAGAATACTTCTGTGTCAGTTTCTTTTTCAAAAAAAAGTTTCATATCATAAATGACATAAATCTTTATAAATATAAATATTTGCCATACTGATGCCTCAGATTCAGGGCATGTACAATAGAATCTTGCTTCGTAATGTAGTTGTTGGCTTTTTTTTTTTTTTTTTTTTGCAGTGCTGGAGATGCAATCTATACATGTTAGGCAAATGTTGTACCACTGAATTACAGCCACATGGTACTGATTTTTTTGGTTTTTTTTTCTGGTAGCATGAATCGAACTCACGACGTCGCGCTTGCCAGGCAGGTGCTGTACCGCTGAGCTAAATCCCCAGCCCCATGGTACAGATTTTTAAGTAGCACATATACCTTTGCACCGCATCTAGGAAAATATTCCTGAGCACTTTGACACTTTGTTTTTCTTTGGAGGTTTAAATTTGAGGCAATTAATAAGGTAATATCATGAAAAGAGAAGATGACAATAGTTAAGCTATGTTCCTACAAGTCATAGGTTCCCCAGGGTCAATGTCAAAGGCAGATTTAAGAAAAACCAACTTGTTCTTCTAGTACAATCTGTGCCAGTCAACTTGATCTTATATCATAAGCAGGGATTGAACTTGCAATGCATCTGCTTCAGCCTCCCAAGTACTTGGTTTGTAGGTGTGTGCTACCAAGGCTAGCTGTGGATAGATATCTTACACAATTTTAGACTAGAAAATAGCAATGGTACTTGATGGGCAAAGAAAATTTTGTGTGTGTGTGTGTGTATTTGAGACAAGATAGATCTACTTTCAAGGCCAGGTTTAGATGGAGAAACTTCCAATCTTTTCAACAATAAGATTTAGCAGCTTATAGTTTTATAAATGCTTTATTTTAAAGAAAGGAAAAATAAACACTACAAACAACGATATAAAATTTGAAAACAAGGGCCGGGGATATAGCTCAGCAGCACAAGTGCCTGCCTGGTAAGTGCAAGGTCCTGAGTTTGATTCCTGGTACCAAAAACAAAAACAAAAACAAAAAATAAAATAAAATTTGAAAACAAGATTGTACGACAGTAACAATGTACTGTTAGCACATTTTGTATTGTTATCTTCAAAGTAGTTGCTCAGATCACAAGATATAGGCATGAAAAATTGATCAAACAATATCGGCATAAACTTTCCCTTTTAATGAGCTAATAGTAATTAGTAGTATAACTACCTTAACTATCTTGTGTGTGTGTATGTGTATGTATTTGTTTTTCTTTTCGCCTTTTTTCTTTTCTCATTTCCCCCATTCCAGCTTCTCTTTCATTTTGAGCATTTTCTCCCCATTTCACAATATTTATTGTACATTTTGAGTCTTATTTACTCTTTCAGCTTCTTACACTAGGGAGGCAATACAATGTTTACATATGTGAGACTGATTTATTTCACTTATGGGTATGGACTCAAGTCAAATCCATTTCCCTATGAATGTCTCAAGTTATCCTTCTTTATAGCTGAGTAGTACTCCACTGTTTAAAAATGCACATCTTTTTTATCCATTCCTTACTTGATGAGCATTTAGGTTGTTTCCAAGATTTTGCTATGACAAATTATACTTCTATAAACATGGGTGCACATATATTGCTGTGGTATGATGTTTTTAATTCTTCTGGGAAAATACCTAAAATGGGCACCACTCTACATTGCCACCAACAGTGAAGAAGGCTCACTTTCCACCACAACCACTCGACCATTTGCTGTTGGTTGATTTCTTGATGGTAGCTATTCTTTCTGGAGTGAGATGGAATCTCAGTGTTGTTTTAATTGGCATCTCTTGAATGACCAATGATGTAGAACATTTTTTCATATATTTATTGGCCATTTGTATTTCTCCATTTGAGACGTGTCTATTCATCTCAGATGCCCATTTTTGGATTGTGTCATTGAATTTGTTGGGGTCTGATCTTTTTCAGTTCTTTATATGTTGTAGATATGTCCTCTGTCTAAGGGACCGTTAGCTAAAATTATTTTCCTACTCTGTGGGTTGTCTTTTCACTCTACTGGTGATTTCTTTTAAATTACAAAAGTTTTTTTTTAATGGGATGATATCTCAATTGTTGATTCTTTGAAGTGTTTCCCTTACAGTTTGGGTTTTGTTCATGAACTCTCTGCCCCCACCTATGTCTTCAAGATTTCTTCTTACTTTCTCCTCCAGTAGATTTACTGTTTCTGTTTTAATATTTAGATTTTTTATCCAGTTTTACTTTAGTTTAGTGCATGGTGATAAACATGGGTCTAGTTTTGGTCTTCAGCATGTAATCAGCCAGTTTTTCCAGCACCATATATTAAAGAGGCTATCTTTCTTCCAGTGAATACATTTGGCTCCTTTGTCAAAGATAAGGTGGTTAAGTGCATTTGAGTTGTGTTTGCATCTTCTAATTTGTTTCACTGATCCTCAGGTCTGTTTTATTGCCAGTAACATGAAGATTTTATCACTGTGGCTTTGTAGTATAATTTCAAGTCAGGGATTGTGTGCCTCCTGAATTGTCTTTGTTGCTCAGGATTTCCTTTAGCAACTTATAATTTTATCTACAATTGTACAATATGGGAACCATGGCAGATGACAATCTGATCGTGACCTAGGAATATAGTATTGTTCAAAAATGTGCAGAGCAGCTGGGCATGGAGGCATATGCCTGCAATCCCAGCACTCAGGGGGCTGA